GCTTCATCGGTGGGGTATCTAGAAGGACTACAATGCTGGAAAGTTGTCGACCTTCTCTAACGAGTCGTCGTTCTTTCTGGTCGAAAGGCGACCGAGTTTATTCTTCCTGGGCATGTCAGTATCAAAGGGGGCATAATGTTGTTCCAGGATATCGTCCTATGTGATAGAGGTCTCGCCCGACCAAGTGGTCTTGTCCTTGCCGCCAGCAAGATTTGTTCTGCTGAAGAGCAGTTTGGACCCAATTGCTTTTTCTTTTTCTCGGACAGGTCCTCTTTTCCTTTTTCTTTTCCTAGTTTTTTCTTAGGGTCTTGTTTGTAAGATGTACTTCCACACCGCTTTATTTAATGCAGTTTAGTTTATTTCCCGATTTCCCACTCTTGTTAAGAAAAGAAAATGCTTGCATCTCATATTCTCATGTGTTTTTAGTTTATTCAAAAATCCCACCGGAACACAGAAAATAGGAAATACTCTTGTTCAGGAAAAAATGTTTGCATCTCATATTCTTGTTCATGCATTATGTTATTTCCTATTCAGTTTTCTTCTTGGCAACCCAGAAATTCAGCAAAATATAGATTAAAAACATGACACGATATCATGAACATTTTGGTAGAAAAATGCATGAATTTTCCAGTGTTGAACAACAGCTAACATGTTGCTAGTTGGACCCATGAAATTCTGGTATGGGAAGGCAATGCATACGAATTCCAAAAGTTGAAATTAAATCCCCCACATTTAAAAAAACAAATATAGTACCTCCGTCCCGATCCTAAATTAGTTGTCTAAGATTTATCTAGATACGGATATATCTAAAATGTGTCTAGATACATCCGTAAGCAGTAATTCGGAAGGGAGGGAGTATCATCTAAACTAATTTGCAAACGCGATCTAACCAAAAACAAACAAACATCAAGTCAAGGGAGATAAAATTGTTTCAAACACCAAGATCCCAATGTGACCAACGTTAACAAGCAAAATTGGTCAAACAGCATTGACCAGCAGAACCTAGCCATCCCATCATCAGTGATCCCATCCATTTACCTGACTAATAATCCATTGAACTAGCGATTGATTTGATTAATCGACACTCTACCAGAGACGCAAAACTCTACTGGTTCCATACCTTCCTGTGATGTGTTTGTCTTGTCTGTCTACTCTGTCCGATCTACTACCTACTGTGTCACACTCTCGTCACCCAAGTTCAGCAGATGCATCTGCATGACTGCATCCTCCTCCTCATCCAGCCTGGTAAGCAGAGCCTTGCCGCTTCTGCCCTCCACCCTCCGCCACGTGAAGTTGCCGCCCTCGCCGCTGGCCACGGAGACGCGGTGCATGATCATCGCCTCGGCTGCGCGGATCGCCTCTGACGTGCCGCTCATAGTCACCTCCCTGCATCTCACAATGTCAGGTTACATACGGTACAGGCGACCTGGTTCCACAAACGGAACTCACGCATCGTTTCCCCCGCATATGCAAAGAAAAGAAACTGAGCACGGCGGAATGCCACCTGTCGCGAGTCCCGGGTATGAACTCCCCCTTGCCTGAGATGTCGATCCATGCTCCACTAACCTGAACTCCAAAGAACTTTCCATGATCAGCCAAAATATCCAATGGCATATACATATGTATAATAGTTTGATAGGATGAGGAAAGCCAAAAAAAAAGGCCTCAACACCAATTAAACCATTCAGGAATACTTACTGCACCATGCACGCATGTTCCTAGTGCACATGCTCGGTTGGGGAGCTTAGCTAACGCCAACAACTTTTAACAGGTTCTTCCTTATGCCAGGCTTCACCTCATAGTCTAAACAAGCCCCACCCATCATATGACAAACTAACTTTCTGCCTTGTACGCGTGACACAGGTAGTCCAGTACTTCAGTTTCTTTAATTCCTTCCAATTGGTGCAAGCTTACATAGAAAACCCATATTGGTGCCATGTACAATGTTCACAAGTAAGGACGTAACCCACTTCTTGCTGCAAGTGACTTGCTTTAGTTAAGCACCGCATCTAGGACAAGATGACAGTAACCCAAACAAAAGCAGCTTTCCTCAACACAACTCATCTAGAAGGACGTAACACCTCTAGAGAAGTTGGTCAAAAAACAAGATTCCCGGGCACTGTACAGATACTTCATGTTAGACAGTTAACTGGAGCAGAGGGCAATGCGCAGCGCATGTGGAAAAAGAAAGTGTTACTTGACTGTTTCTGATGAATAATACCTTGCTGATCTCATTGATAATCCTTCCACCACGACCAATAACAGCACCCATATACTCATCATTAACAGCAATAGTGAGAGATTCTTGGGCATCCTTGTTAACAGGTGATCTCATTGGAGTGTTTGGCTGAAAAAAAATCAAGAGAAAAAAGTTGAGATTTCACAAAAGGCCCAGACCAAACCATTTGGTTAACTGTACATAAACAGTAAATAATGTTCTTCACAAATAATTTTACATCCAGTATGCAAGATTAGTAAGAGATATTTCAAACTTATTTACCAAAGGATGCATGAAAAACAACTTTATGTTAGTCAGTTTAATTTTTTTTTTACAGAGGAAATTAGTAATTTAGTAGGCTTAGCACCGCTAGCAATTATTTCAGTTAGGGAGCTAATGTTCTGTAATTTACCTAGTCTCTTGATATGAAACTCCTACAGAGTACAGAAAATAAACCTTTCGTAGTGAATGCAAGTAAATTTTGATGAACAGATCATACATACTGCTAGCTGGTACATATAATTTATATATTATATGAAATTGCGGTCAGTTCTTGAAAAAGAAATTGTCCAGCTTGTGGAAGGATGGGGTGAGAATGAACCAACAAGGAACAGTTGATCGATGAGAGCCAAAGATAAGTTGAAATGCCTTATGAATGTTCAGGGATCTCTTCTATTCTAGATACTGAACGGACAATGATTATATCAAAAATAGGTACCGTTTGGTTCTCTTGTTATACTCCCTCCGTTCCCAAATATAAGTCTTTCTAGAGATTCCAACAAGTGACTACATACGGAGCGAAATGAGTACACTCTAAAATATGTCTACATACATCCGTATGTTGTAGTCCATTTGCAATGTCTAAAAAGACTTATATTTAGGAACGGAGGGAGTAGATTGCAGGTGTTACGTTTAAAGGAAAGACAGACAAATGCACATAAGTGTACAGAACAGGAATTTAATTTTCATTCATCGCCCTCATTGGTCTGCCTTGAATTACGCGGGGTTAAAGTTATAATCCTAATTATATGTAGTAGGCTAGGAAATATAATATCCAGATTATAAAGATTTTTAAACTAGAAACTGGACAAATAATTTAATCACGTCACGGGGCCACAGTGTGCCTAAAATACGAACTAATACAGCTTGTATACGACGACTTCACATAGAATAATTTGTTTTTATTAATGCAGGGATACTAAAGACGGACGGTGCAGGGCAGAGCAGTTACCGTAGCAGCTGCATATGGAAAAGAATAACGAACGTCCTCTAGCAGCTCGAATATTATCAGAAACACTGCTCGCAATCGATTGTCCAAGGGTCCTGTGATAGTGACCAGCCTGTCATTGAAGCCATAGGAGACGTTCTGTGGTGAGACCTGAATTGCAGTTTCCGAAGCTTCAGTGAATGACCTAGTGTCACATCCCTAGCTTCTGGTGATGCTCTAGGCTAGCTCATGTGTGCATCATGTTTAAATTCTGAAAATTTGAACTGAGGGAATTTTGGAAGCCTCAAAAACTTAAATAAAAGAGGGGCAAAAACCCTAGAAATCTCATTCATTGCTTCAAAATGCTCTTTTTAAATGTTTGATAATTTTTGGTAAGGGTTCTGGTCCCAACCAAAATATTGAACATTTTTAAGGAATTATTTTTGGGACCTTGGATTTAAATCATTAGCTATTTGAATTTGAATTATATTCATATAATTAGAATATAATTTCAAATACCCCGTGAAATATTTTACAAGCTTTTGGAAAAGTCCATCTAGCAATACAAAATATTCAGAGGAGCTTTGGCATTGTTTGAATTATTATTTTAATTCAAAACAATGGCAAAAGAATTAAATAAAAGAAAAACAGAAAGTAAAAAAAAAAAAAAACAGAGCAGAACTTACCTCAGCCTACCTGCGCAGCCCGCTACTGTTGCCGGCCCAGCTGTGCAGCCCAGCCCACCGAGGACAGAGCCGTCTTCTTCCTCCTGCCAGTAGGCAGAGGGGAAGCGTGGCGCGCGCGCGGGCGTTCCCGGCCACCTCCTGCTTGCCGACGATCCCCTGAACGCGTGGACGACTTTCCCGTGTCGTCCCGATCCCGCT